ATTAATTAGAGAATTTACTAAATCAAAACAGCCCTTTTGAATGGATTTTTAAAGTACATCTTAATTCTATAATTTAAGGTTGTAACCATTGCCTCGCCTTTTTATTTTTATTTTTATTTTCTTTTTGAAAAACAAATTTCAAAATCATATTTTTAAGGTGTTTCCGGCATTGGATTGAAGGGAAGGGTATCGGTGATTGTTCCCCTCTCGCGCTTAATAATATCTCATTTACGCCGCATTGCCCTTGGCCTTGCCCATGCCCATAGAGACGGAGAGAGGCTTATTATGTTGTTAGTGTTCCCACCGTCTTGTCTATGACTTTCTACAACAAAATAAAAAATAAATTAAAAGTAAAAAGTACCACAAGTTCCCCCCAATTTACTAAAATGAACAAAGTCCCCTTGTATATCTTTTGAAAAATGGAATGAGAAAATGTTTTATGGTCTAAGAAGGGTGAGGAAGTGGGCTGTGTTAGATTGATAAACAAATATAGCACTTTACCAGAACTCGAAGAACCAGGTTTATATACGGCCAAGCCCCCGCATATGTAGAAATACAGGCCTCTTAATAAATCTATTTTTTAAATGAATTTTAAGACTTAGTTTTTAATGACATGTAATCTTTAAAATGGAGATCATGAATATGAATAAATAAATAAATAAAATTTAAAAATTAGAAATAATAATTTTAATAAAAACATTTGAACAGTTACTTTCTATTGTTTTTAGATGGAATACCTACTTGCATCCATCTTTAAGGTTGATGCTTTACACTTTTTAGACTGTATATATCGAAATGCAGTCCAGCCTGCATGAAATAACTTTCCAAACTTGAACTCTAAATCTATATTAAATACTCAATCAATATAAAACGTTATCAAAACTTTCTATGTTATCTGCCTATGTCATAACGTTTCTCGTGTTGGAAATAATGAAAAAAAATATGAAAACTTTGACCTCACTGAATGTATGGCTTTTGATAAAACAAAACGACGAAACATAATTTATATAATTGTATCTCTTGCTAAAACAAAATAATGAAACATAATTTATATAACCGAATCCAAATAACTAGAAAAGTTCTTTGATCATGAAATTGCACGTCAATGCCTTTCGATATTTGTACACATTTGGATATCCATAAAATTATTTCCTTGCTAATGTAACCAAACTTGGAACATCTTTGTCAAAAATTAGGCAGGACTTCATGGTCAATTCGGGAAACTTTCGTGACGACGAAATTTAGTGACAATCGGCAATAATTCTTGACTAATTTGGATGACGTTTTACTAAATTTGGCACGAGGCTCCGGATTATAGGCCGAAATTTCGTCGATTTTTTCAATCCAATAAATACTTTTCACCGTGAACTTTATGGATCGCCAATATTTCAACCGACACCCCTCCTTGGATATTTTTTTATCCTCACCAACTTTGACTTGACAAACTGGCATGCACTCTTTTGTGTGTCACTACTCAAAGATAAAAGCAAATAATTTTATACTAAAATAGTAACCAAAGTTAGATCTCATTAAGAGATAGAAATTTAAATCGGACAGTAGTGAGGAGCTTGTGTCTAGTCAAAATTAGTTTAATCGTTGGTTAAATCGGTTA